AATTTAACATAAAGAACAAAAACAGGGTGAAAATTATGGACGTTTATTATACTCACAAGACTTAGAATGTTTAAGAACCGTTTTAAAAAACTTGAGAAATACTTCCAAGGTGTAGTAGTAGAAATTGATCTGGCAATATTAATAAAATACAAGCATGATTCATCTATAACGTGCTTTCCTGTGGAAGATATAATTATAGTATCAATTATTAAGCATCAACTTAATATTAAGAAATACAATTTGATAGTCCTAATGAACAGTCTTAAAAATTATTATGTCTCATATAATTAAGAAATAACATTTATATTGAGAGTGTTATCTTTATCGTGTAAAATTAAAGGGGTGCAATAGACCTAGCTCATTATTAATGGTCTTTATAACTCATGCGCGAATCCTACCCCCATCTTAAAGTAACCAAAAATTGTTATTTTACCCCGAGTGTCAAATGCCGATGACACGGATGACAGTTGGCAAATGTCATTTTGTTCTTGTCTTTAATACGTTACTCGTATTAAGATTGCAGCGCTCATGCGGTAACAGTTGGAACTGCTGTAAGGAAAAGTTTTTTTGTTTACATGTTGTTTACAGTTACTTTCTTGTGGGTGTTTACGTGTATTCAGCGTTTTTGAACTGTATTTTGTTTAGTTGATTGCATTTTTTTCGTGAAATATTTCTTGGTTTTATTTTTTTTGTGTTATTAGTATGATAGTCGTTTTATTTTACAAACTATATAATTAACTTTTTTGAGTTTCATATTCAGTCGTTTTCAGGTAAGCATTTGTAGTCAAAAGTTTTAATAAAATAAATTTAACAGTAAATATATATTTTTTTAGAAATGAAGCTAAGCATTTTAGAATACTTTAGCTATTTGGGTAAATCTACCCAATTCTAAAAGTGAGGTTGAAGGGGAAAATGTTTTGAATGCATTACATTTTATTTTGGCTGGAAAGACAGTAGAAAGTTTTGAGTGGATTGAAATATATGGTTTGTGTTTACAAACAAGTTTCTTAGAATCTAATCCACATAAAATTACAGGGAAATGATCAATTTCCAATACGATCAAGGTGGATAAACTGTTATGTTCATGTAAAGTAGGAAACAGTGGAAAATGCAAACACATCTCGGCTTTTCTTATTAAGTGTATAAGGTGTGTTTTGAAGTCCAAAGAAAAAAGCGTTATTGTGCAAAAATAATTTTAATTATTGCTATATATATTAATTTAGTTCTTTATTTTGTTTTAGGGAAGATGTCGAGTTATTAGAAATCGTTTTTCAAACTGACAAGACATGTGTTTGGTCAACATAAAAGAATATTACTAAGGACAAATATCGACCAGTTCCTATAGATGAAATGGTTTGTTTCAAAACAAAAGTACTACATAGTAGTACTACAGTTGATGGTAATGAAGTTCGGAATTTCTTTTGTAATAAATTACCAGTTTCAGCAATTGCCAAACAGTAGGTTTGATGTGTATTTTGTAAAAGTGGACTAAATTATAACTACTTCACCTTTTAGGGTAGGGCGACGAGAAGCTCCAAAAATAGATCCACATATCAATCCACAAATAAATATTTGCCGAAATTTTGTGACAGAAATTTTAAATAACTCTTATCAGTCTCCTCTTATGATGAACTTAGCATGAGTCAATGTACCTGTCCAAAGAGCTTGTTGTGCACAACTATTAGCCAATTTGGATAATGATGACATAGAAGTAGCTATAAATATTCCTCAAGGTTCAGGAGATTGGAAAAAACTTAGGAAATATCGCATAACAGGTAGCCGATGTTATGAGATATATAATTTCAAGAAAAGTGATTGAAAGAACAAATCGATAAAATATTTCAATCCAATTGTTATTAACAATAAATATATAAAACATGGCATAGAGAATGAAAATAATGCAAGAGATGTTTTTATAAAAATTTCGAAAATGGATGTAGTGAAATGTGGATTTGTCATTTCAGCAGCAAATGAATGGCTAGGTTATTCACCAGATGGCATTATATTTTTTAATTTTTTTCTTGTAGTTCTTGGGTTTTAGGTGTTGAGGAAATGAAACTCGTGTTTAAGTAAAGTAAAGCTTTTGGCCCTGCTCAGGGACTTCTTCAGTAGTTTTTTTTTAATTTTTTTTAAAACATATTTGTACATTTGAACAGTTTTTTTTACAAGAAAAGAATTTTTTTTTTAATATTATTTTTTGGTGTTTTTTTTTATATATATATATATATATATATATATAGTTTATGTTGTTGTTGGTTTTTTTTTGGCTTACCTGTGGTACATTTTTTGGGGTATGTAATTAATATTAAATGTTATTAGATCCTTTTTTTTATTATATTATTCTGTAATTGAATTTGTGTCATTTTTGTCCTTCCTACAAGAAAAAAAAATATAAACAAAGGTGTAAGGAAAAAAAAAACTTTAAAAAAGGAGGTTCTTCTTTTATAAAGTAACAATATTAACTGGCGAAGTATTTTGATAATGACCAATTGAAATATTAATAAAAGGAAGTAATATTAATAAACCTACCTTCTAGAAAATAGTTTTTTGTTTAAAATAAGTAAATAACTTTAGCAATTAGTTATCTTAAAAAGGTTTGTTTATAATAAATATCATATGTTTATTTTAATAGGTTAACATTCTCTGCTAATGTCACCGAACTAAAACTAGTTCCGTGGTCAAAGTGTGGCAATGTTCGTTTGTATATAATTTTGGTGCTTTGACATTTGGGGTGTCAGAATATTAGTGGTTCTATGAGTTGGCTGAAGGCTTAGAGAATTGAGTTATCCGAGATGCTGTCAGAAAAAAAAATGGCTGACTGTAGGCACACAAACTTGTTTACATCCATTGTTTTATACGTGACACTCGTGATTTTTTGTGTACTCTTGAACAGTACGAAGTTATTTGGAAAATCAGTTTTGTATTAGTTACTTTTATTGAAACATATGTGTATATTCAACAGTTTTATGATCATAGTTCCTTATTAAAGTTTCTTAGCTTTTTAGAAAAAGTTATTTTAAGAATAGGTATGCCTACTACTTGTTGTTGTGTTGTAAAGTGTGGAAGCCGTGGAAATCGCGATCCTGTAAACTTTTTCAAATTATCTAGTGAACTACATTTTTTACATAAAATAGATTTAAACGAACTTTCAAAAAAAAAAGACGCCAAAAATGGATACTATCAAGAGAGATGATCTCTCAGAGATAAAACTTAATTATATCAGAGTGTGCAGTAAACATTTTCTATCTGGTAATGTTTAGCAATCTTATATATGAATTTTTATTTATATGGTAATCTTTTTTAGGAAAACCATCGGATTTAAGTGATAAAAATAGTATTGACTGGGTTCCATCAATATAAATGGGTTATGGCAATGATACAATGACTTTAAAAAGATCTCAGACTGCAGTTGCCAGACAAAAAAGAACAAAAAAGAGAAGAAAAATTGTACAAGACGATATTTCAGAAGTATGACAATTTTATAGGTGTTATAATATGATTTATTAACGTATTTTATTTTTTAGGTAATCGCTGATGAAGTTGAAGAAACGTTTCCAATAAATCATAATGATGAACAATGTCAGACTGATGTAACAGCTGATGGGTTTACACAAATGATGATATCACTTGAATCGACCAAAAAATTAGAAGCTAAACTTCAAAAAATAGAGTTAAATTACAGTTTTTTAAAGATGATAATGTAAGAACTAAATATTACACTGGCTTAAATACATTTAAAAAACTGGAAATATTTGTATCTATGTTAAGGGACTATGTACCTATTCATTTTAATACTAGTTTACCTATTTTTGAGCAAATCCTGCTTACTATGATGAAGTTGCGATTGAATTTAGATTTTAAGGATTTAGCATTCCGTTTTGGTATTAGCCCAACAACATCATCATATAACGCACTAAAACCCCAGTTCCCTTTCGGACTGGTTGCTGGATAACCAACAAGTCACCAAGTGTCTCTACGGACGAGGCCACGTCAAGTCACCGAGCGTCTCTACGAGAAGAGCGCGGGCTGTCGTTGTCAAGTGGCTGTCTGTCGAGGAACTTTTTCGGTTGTGTTAAAAAATCATTATTGCTTTTCATTTTTTGTTACATGCTTTCTACGATTAGACTTGTTAAATAAACCTAGGTTTTCTTGATTGAACCCGAGGATAATTAGAAGCCTCATAATCAACATATTTTAAAAATATGATAGATTTAATGTACTAGAGGTTCAAAAAACTCATTATCTGGCCAAGCAGAGGTATTTTAAAAAAAACCATGCCAGAATGTTTTAGTTACGCATTTGGTGAACAGATATATCCGTCATTATAGATTGTTTTGAGTTGTATATAAAAAAACCATCTAATTTACTTAAAAGTGCTCAGTGTTGGTCAAACTATAAACACCACTATACTGTAAAATATATCATCGGAATAACATCACAAGGAACAATAAATTTTATTAGTGAAGCATGGGGTGGTCGGGCCTCAGATAAACATGTTACTGTAAATTCGAAGTTTTTGGACAATATTATTCCAGGTAAAAAATATGTTTTTTTATTGAAAATTTATTTCTTTCAATAGAGCCAATTTATTCTCGTGTGCGTGTATTCTGGGTACTTCCCACAATTTTTATATTACTTTATCCGCACTTTTAGCAGAAGCAAATCGCGTTCGTAATTGTTTTAGTCGAGAACGGCGATGTTTTAGTATTTTATTCCGACTGAAAATAAATCGCTGCGCTATTTTCTTAATTATTTCGCACATTTTTGTATTGACCCAGTAAATATAATGTCTAATACCTCTGATAGTGATGTGCAGAAAACAGAGGACGTTTGCACACCTACGAAAAAATGAAAAGTGCGGAATATAAACAGAAATATAAAAGAGAGTGGGAGAATGAGTGGAAGTGGGTCCAGCCAAGTAAGAAGGGTCCAGTTTATGCCTGGTAAGATTGATTTTTACCTGATTTTGTAAGTTTAAAATAATGTATCTATTATAATAGGTGTAAATACTGCAGCTGCGATATACTGATTGCAAGAGGAAAGGGAGAATTAAAAAACAGCACTACCGGAAAGCACTCGAAATCAGTATCATCTGCTAAATCGCAACCATCTGTATCGTCAATATTTGGAAAACCAACAAAAAATCTAGAAGAAAAGGGAAGGGAAGGCGTTCTGCGACTTGCTGGATTTATAGCAGACCACAACTTGCCTATACGATTAATGGAACATATTCCAAACTTAGTAAATAGTATTTGCCCGGATTCTGAAATTGCCCAGGCTATTAAATGATGCCGTACAAAAATGATTAACGTAATAAAAAATGTCACCGGCGATGAAGGTAAACTGCAACTGATAAACATACTGCGAACAAATAAATGTAGTTTAATAGCAGATGAATCCACAGATAGGTCCTGTTCGAAGCATTTGTGCCCAGTTGCCCGAGTTGTGGTTAATTTTAATGTAAAGGACTACTTTCTAGCCCTTTTGCCAGTTAGGGAAGCTACGGGGGCTACCGTGTTTACATTAATCGATGACTTTTTTAAAAAACACAATATCCCTTTCGAAACAAATCTTATCGGATTTGCTGCCGATGGAGCAAACAACGTGATGGGCGCCCATAATTCCTTAGCCAGTAGACTTAGGGAAAAATGCCCCAATTTGTTTATGATGAAGTGTGTCTGCCACAGCTTCAATCTTTGCGCATCATACGCATGTGAGAAGCTACCCAGCGAAGTAGAACAGTTGGCAGGAGATGTAAGGCTTTTTAGTGGTGTACATATATTTTTTTATTATGAAAGTTTTCTCTTGTTTTAGGTGTACAATTTCTTTTCCAATAGCCCAAAAAGACTTGACAACTACAAGGAATTTCAAGAATTTGCCAATGTATTGCCTCACAAAAAAAGATGGCTTTCTCTAGAATCGGTTGTTAAAAGGCTGATTTCACAATATAACGCGTTAATCCTTTATTTCACAGAGCAAGCCTTTGAAGGAGTGATGCAAGCAGACATTATTTTAGAGAAACTTAGAAAGAAGGAAACAAAATTATATCTTGATTTCTTGGCATATATACTACCTTTATTTAATCAGTTAAATCTTTTAATGCAGAGTGAAAAACCACAGTTACATAGAATATATGAAGAGGTCACATGTGTTTTGAAAACCCTCATGGATTGTTTTATTAAACGAGATATTTTAGAGAAGAACATGGTATATGAAATTGATTACAAAAATCCAAGAAATTTCTTACCTATTGACGATATGTACTTTGAAGCATCAATTGCTGTAAGTAAAATTGACAAAAATATTTTACATTCGATTAAAGTAAAATGCTTAGATTTTTATTTGGAAAGTACAGAGCAAATATTACTTAAGATTTCCTTTAAAAAACTCCGCCATAGAAAAATTGAAGTTTTTGGATCCTGTTTGTGTGAAATCCAAAGAAAAAGACACAATTTCTGACGTAGCATCGCTTTTTTCAAATTTAGTTCATCCTGAATGGAGATTGCTAAAAAATTATCCAGAAGATGATATTGAAACTGATGTACCATTTTGGAAGGAAATTGCCAATGTGAAGATAGGAGATTCGCTAAAATTTCCAAATTTAACTAAGTTCGTTTTTCAAGTTCTTTGTTTGCCTCATTCTAGCGTGACTGTAAAGAGGATATTCTCCCAAATCAATCTAATTAAAACACAGTTTCGCAATAAATTAAAAACAGAAACAATAGAAGGTCTTTTGTACACAAAAAGTTTTATGGAAAACAAGACATGTTACGAATTTACTTTAAATAAAAATGTTACGAAAAAACTTGTTTTTATGTATTTTTGAAAATGACGATACTTTCACGACTTTACACGATTTTTAGCAGCCGAGTTACACGATTCTCTCCGCACTTCATCTGGCAACACTGGTGTGGATTCATAGATATTCGAGCGTTGGAAGCGAGAATATCGATTTGCAAGCGAAAATAGTGTACGAAGCGATAGCTGTTACAGAGTTAATTTTACTGAAAGTCTTACAAACAAGTGGAGGGCATTAAATTGAGTAGGGGCGTTCTCGCTTGGATGGAGACCGATCAGAGTAATAAATTCACATATTCCGACAAAGGAGGGAATAAAAGAATATTCATTCACAAACCAATAACAAAAATGACAGGAGCAAGTTCAAGCAGTGACAACCCGCCACATGAAAAAAGACAAAAACCCAGGAAAATGAGTTAATGCAAACTAGTTTTCCCAGTACCAACATATAACAGATTTGGAATTTCAGACAAACCGAATGAAACCGAAAATAGTGACAACACAAACACTCAAAAAATTCAAGAAAATAAAAAGAAAACAATACCACCGATAGTAGTTACCCAACAGATTGGAAATTACAGGGAATTTATAACAAGAATAAAATAAATCCTGGAGTCATCGGATTTTATATGCCAATTTAACAATAGACAAACAAAAATTTACATAAATAACGAGCAACACAGACAAACAATAATAAGAGAGTTGGAGAAAGATAAGATCGATTTCCACACCTATACTCGAAGAGACTGTGTTAAAAGCCGCGCCAGGCTTAGACCTTGAAGAAATAAAAGAAGAACTCGAGTTTGAAAGAGTATCGGTAATCGATGTTATCAGACTAAGAAGCAAATCAGAAAATATAGAAAACCACTCCTATCAACTGCGCGTTAAAAAAGAACAAAATTTAAAAGAACTTCATAAAATAACAGGGGTACAAAACAACAAAGTGAAATGGGAATCATATGCCAAGAAAAATAAAATAACTCAGTGTTATAGGTGCCACGAATTCGGCCACAGTCAGGCAAATTGTCACAAGGAACCCAAATGCGTAAAATGCGCGGAAGGATACCAAACAAATCAATTACCGCTGCCAAAAAATAGAAAAAACAAAGTAACGTGTATCAACTGCAATGGTGAGCACACTGGAAATTTCACACTATGCCCAACGTACTTAGAATACTTGGAAAAGTCGAATGAGAATAAAAATAAAAACAGAAAACAACCATATGCCTCAATCAACAGAATGTATTTTGCTTATTACCAAACAAGAACAGCTCAAGTTATTTAAAATTATTTCAACTGTTAAATGAAAAATCTAAAACTCTGGATCTGATATTTAAACCTTCAACAGTCATTGTTGATTTTGAACAGGCAATTCATAACGATTGTTCAATAATGTGGCGGAATATAAAAATTATAGGATGTAGATTCCATTTGTGCCAATCGTGGTATCGTAAAATTCAAAATTTGGGCTGTCACAGAATATCGGAACAAAAACTCAGAAATAGGCAATTTTCTTAAATTATTTTTTCGACTTTCATTTTTAGACCCTCATGAAGTAGGAAACTTTTTTTCTGAAGAAATTCATTCAATAATGCCCAGTAATCCGAGTCTAGCGAAATTTTGCAATTATATCGTGGAAACTTATATCGATGAAGAAAGTAATTTTCCCCCAAGTATGTGGGCTTGTACTACAGATAGTATGTACAGGACCACAAACGCGTGTGAATCATTTCATTCTCATTTTAATTTTTATAGTTCTTACCCAAGTTTGTTTAATTTTGTAAATATTTTAATAAACTTTCAAGCAGAAACATATATATATATATATATATATATATATATATATATATATATATATATATATATATATATATATATATATTAAAATAAAATCCGTAAAATGTTCCACCAACTAAAAAGTACAACACAGAAAAAAAATTATTTTATTAAAGCTAAGATAGCAGAATCTAGAAATGGCCTTTTATCACAAAAAGATTTTGTAAAAATTATGTCTTATTATAATTCGCCTTAATAATAAATAATATGTTAAGTAAATAGTGATTGTTTTAATTCTTAGAATACAACTTCAATCCGTTCGAAAAGCGGTCGTGGTCCAACTGATCGGTGTACTTAAAACAGGTACCTGGTCCGTGGTCGAACTGTCCGTCTCCCTATATAGATTATTTTAACAAGCTTTGGGAAATCAGAGACTTAAGTAATGTAAACGCAATACAACATGGCAAAACACATGAACATGGAAAAAATGTTTACAAAACCGTTACTAAACATGATGTATTTGATTGTGGTTTGGTAATTTATCCATATGCTCCTTATTTAGACGCTAGTCCAAATGGCATTATTAAGGACAAAAATAGACAATTAGACATTTTGGTAATAAAATGTCCAGAATTTTATCTGCCTCGTAAAGTTCTAGTTAATTTAATTTTATTAGATCAATCACTTTTTCTGTCTCTGCCAGTAATATGATTGGTACCACTGAAATAAATCGATTCTAAACAATTGTTGATGTAGATATGACGTTCAGGTATCAAAAAAGAGATACTATTGGCTAGAGGAATGAAAATAAAATTGGTCGTCTTGTGTTGATTGGTGTATTATTTTAGTTTTAAATAATTGTGACAGCTAATTAAAATATAAAATGGTATTTAGGATTTTTCGTTATTTTGAGATTATAAAAAGTTATTAGTTGTACGTTGTACTTTGTTACGTTGTTTGTGAAAGTTTTTTGAGTTTGTTCCATCGTTTAATTTATTTTGTTTAGGGTTCCTTAGTGTTCTGTGTGAGAAAAGCATATCTAGTAAAATCATTTATTTAATTTTAATTTATTGTAATAAAATAATGAGCTCAAATAATATGAATTTAACAAAAGAAAAAAAAGAACGTGGCCAAAATGTTTGTAAAGAGGAAATTAACTCATTAATAACGTTGATCGAAGAACATAAAAGAAAATCATCGAAAACAAAAAGACGGACGCTATGACATGGAAAGAAAAGGAAGCATGTTGGATAAGACTCACCAACGAGTTTAACTTACAATGCGATATACTGAGAACCTGTTACGGTTCAAAATCCATATAAATGAACTGGGATGATTTTGCCACAAAAATAATATAAATAGTATTGACTGTTCGAAAACCAACGAAAGGTTAAAGCATCACCCTGTATAAGGGAATAAATGAAGCTCATTTCCGCAATACCAATTCACCCTATAATAAAAATAATCAATATTATCCAATTTATTTAAAACATTTTATAATCAACTAATCTGAACGCCGCCCCTGTAAACAAAGCTCACAATCTATTTTTAGAAATTACGAAACAGTCTTAGACGAAAAGCTACAGAGAAAGAGACAGAAAACTAAAAACTTTAAAAAATAGCTCTCTTGCGCTCATTGGTAAAACCGACATCGGTGTGAGACACGGTCAGTTCAACCCCTCCATAAATGCAATAGGCGCTTAGCAACAGTTGGGTATAAAACCGGCGTATCCCAGAAATTATTGCGATTCGAGATCCAGCAACTGTACGAGACGGTACTGTGTGACGAGCGGACTAGAACAGCCGAAGCCAAATCAGAAGCGTTGCGGAAGTCACTGCGAAAGCACACTCCCGCTGAAGCACCTGAAGCAGAAGCACCCTAGGTCATATTTAGTATTTTTATCTAGTATTTTTAAAATTTCTTTTCAGAAATTTTAATTAGAAAAATAATTAGAAAAATATTTCCAAAGAAGAGTTCCTAAATAACGAACAAACCTAAAAGCCCTACTTCGAAAAATTCTTTTTAGAGTTTTTCTTAAATAAAGGCTAATTTTCGAATAAGATTTGGTACACTAATCCCCATTTTTTACAGGTTAATAGCCCAATTTTGGAAAATTTCTTTTTAGAAATTCTCCTTAAAAAAGGTTATTATTCGCATTGCGAATTATTCGAATAGATTGATCTGTCATCATTTAAATAAACGACTTCTAATCCATTTCTTTCAGCTTGGGACTACCAGACGACTTCAAGACACAGGACCTAAAAATTGTAAGCATAAACAAACTAACAAACGTCATCCGACTAGGGTCAAGCCACCATTGCCGGGGTTAATAGCCCTTGAGTTGTGAGGTTGCAACTCACTAGTCGGATTAGGGACTCCCAAATTACTAACAAACCCAGCGAATTCCCCCAACAATCCTTCGTCACCACCATGGTGGTGACAAGAAAAAACTCCTACGCCGGATCGGCTGCTTCCGCCCCGCAGCAATTCGGCCAAGGCCCAAATTCTATGGCTACTATCTCCTCCCCTGCCTCAAGCCATAGAAGTTCAATCTCAATTCCATCACTCATGGACCAAACTATCATCAAACCCTCAAACATTTTTCAAAATCTCCGCGAAAACTCCCCCCTAAAAACCCAACAACCCCCCCCAAACCCTACACTACCCAACAACCCCCCTAACAACCCCCCTAACAGACCCCTCCGCCCCACTCAAACACTCTTCGTTCTCAGGAACATCCCCGCCGCCTACTCCACCCAAAAAGCCCTATTCAATATATTGAATACCCAGGAACTATTCCGTTCCAACCTTGTTTTTGTTAAGGCTAATTTTAACAAAACGGCCCTAATAAAAACCACCTCGCCCAAAACCCCCACCGAGCTCCAGACCCTCATAAGGCAGCGAATGGGGGATAATAAAATCATCCTCAACCCTAAATACGCCCAAAACCCCCCTGAAAAAATCATTCGATCCCCCCCTGCCCCCCAATTCTCCCTAGTCATCCGCCAGGTTGACAAAAACATTTCATTAGAAGAAATCCAGGCGGTTCTCGGGGACCTTGACTTCCCATATACGAAAGTATGGAGGATAAGGTCCCAGAAAACCCTCGAATTTACTTCATTCATCAGGGTGTTGACTCCTTCAGAGTCTCACTACTCCTACTTGATCCGCGAGGGCTTCGGCATCTTCGGCCGAAGACACCCAGTCGAACCCTCAAACCAAAACCCCCTGCCTCCCATTCCCAAATATTGCACTCAGTGCACCGGCCTTGGTCATTCGGCCTCAGAATGTTCCAAAAAACCCGCCTGTCCCAACGACGGGCAGCACCATAGGCCAGCTGACTGTAAAAAGTCAGAGGTGCCAAAATGCCCTAACTGCCGCGGCAACCACCCCGCATACTCAATTACATGCCCCGAAAGACAAAAACCCCCCCAGAAACCTGAACAGGTTGCTCCCGTCTCCCTCCCAACATCCACCCCCCCCCCAAGAGCTAACATCAGAGCTCAAAATATCTATCCAAATATTTTCTACTCTTCTGATGAACCTCCTCCCAAATAGTAGAGAAATACTCACAAAAATCTTGGGAACGCTAATCCCGGCCATATTCGGCCATTCATGCACCGTAACAGGTCATGGAAATTTAGCAATTTTCACATACTCCCCGATAAACCCTGACCTTTAATGGATTGTCTTATCGGCACAATTAACTGCAATGGCCTCGCTCGGAAGAGGCCATTAATCAAAAACCTCCTAAACTCTGAAAATCTACAAATATTGTCTCTTACCGACACTAAGTCAAAACTTCCCCCCAGCTTCACTGGGTATCAAACAGTACATTTAAATAAATCCCAAAACACTTTTGGGAATGCACTTTTAATCAAAAATTCAATTCCATTCAACTCTCACACTTTTCCAGCTCATCTAGCTGATCTTGATATAATAGCAATAGACCTCCCGATAGACAATCCATTAACTATAATCTCGTACTATAACCGCCCTGGCCAAATCATCTCCCTACCACTGATAGAATACCTATCTTCCCTCCCTCGAGCCGTTTTGCTTGGAGATTTGAACTCCAGACATACCATGTTCGGAGATCACGCCTCTAACCCAAACGGAATCCGACTAGCTAATCTGCTTATAGACTTCCCCATATTCAGAGCCTCAAACCGACTTCCCACCTTCGTATCCCACCAGGGATCATCTATCATTGACCACATCCTTCTGACAGACTCCTGTACTGGACTGGTTGCTGATAGATGCTTCATAGGTGTTACGATCACCTCCGATCACCTTCCTCTGATGTTACACACATCCCTACTTGCTCCAATCCCTCCCAGAGCTACCATTCACACCTTCCGCAACCTCAAAAAAGCAGATTGGCCCCTATTTCAGAGAACCATCTCTACTAACATCCCAGAACAACGCCCGCTCAACTCCCCACAGGACATCGACACTATAATCGATGAAGTCCAAACATCCATCACCCACGCCGTCGAATCATCCACCCCTATCACTTCAATAAACACAGCCCAACAAGCCCTCCCCCAATTCATCCTCACTCTCATCTCCCAAAAACGACGCCTGTATAGACAATACGTCCGTACACACGACCCTGTCATCAAAACAGAATGGAACCGTCTCAACGCCCTGATCAGGCTCCAAATCAACCTGCACAAACAGCAACAATGGATCAATACCACATCTAATTTGGATCATAGAGACGGCTCCAAGTTTTGGGACAAATTCCGGATAATCACTGGTCAAAAATCCAAAACCCACTCACACCTCCTAATCGACGGTCAAATCCACTCCACCCCCGACGAGAAAGCCCTGGCCCATAAAACCCACCTCGAAGCCACATTCAGAACCCCCGACAACCCCCACTTTGACGAACAATTCAAAATCGAGACCGAACATCACGTCCTTCAGACACTTGCCGCCCCACTCCCCCCTTTGGATGTCGAAAACCCCCTCACCGCCCCATTCACCCCCCAAGACATCCAATACGCCTGCCAAGCAGGCAAAAACACGGCCTCCGGGCCTGACTCCATCCACAGGAGAACACTGAAACATCTCCCTGAAACCATATTTCCTATTCTCACTCTTATCCTAAACTCCTGCCTCTCCTTATCCTATTTTCCACTTGCCTGGAAATCCGCAAACACCATTTTGATCCCCAAACCAGGCAAGAACCCCAAATCCCTAAATTCATACAGACCCATCTCTCTCATATCAGTCCTAGGTAAACTCCTCGAGCTTCTGCTCAAGGAAAGAATCTGGGAATTTTGTGAAGAGAGAAACATCATACCCCAATCCCAACATGGTTTCAGACCCCACCACTCCACCCAGGACGCAATATCTTCCCTTCACACTACCGCTGTCACGGCGGTAAATTCCCAGCATATCTCCTCAGCTGTTCTCCTAGATGTTCAAAAAGCCTTTGACCAAGTCTGGCATGCCGGACTAGTCAAAAAACTTATGAACATAGGTCTCCCCCCCCAAATTTCGAAACTCATACACTCCTACCTCTCAGACAGAAAAATTACAGTCAAAGTGGGCAACTCCCTATCCGAAACATTCACCCCACTAGCAGGAGTCCCACAGGGCTCCGTCCTGGCCCCTCTCCTCTATCTCATTTACACGCACGACATTCCCCCCCCAAACCACCCCACATCCAAATGCCTGCTATACGCAGACGACACAGCTCTAATTTCGGTAGCCAAAAATTCTAACCAACTAAATATTCGAACCCAAAATCTGTTAAACCGGTACTCTCACTGGTGTAGCAGATGGAGGGTCTCATTAAATCCACAGAAAACTCAATTTATCGTCTTCAAACACCCAAATTCCAAAAGAACCTCTCAGAACCCCCAACTCGTAAACGTAAATCTCCTAGGAGTCAGGCTAGCTCAACAGACCGAAGTCGACTATTTGGGGGTACGATTTTCTCGTACTCTTAACTGGTCCTCTGACGTCCAACGCACTCTTGATAAGATGCGAAAGCGAGCCAGTCTCCTGGGAGCTTTGTGCGGGCGAATAGGGCGCTGTAACCCAGATACCCTCATCCATACTTACAATTCCTTCATCCGACCCGTTGCCGAATACAGAGCTATACCCTACGGTGTACTTCCCACACACCTGTCCCACAAACTCACCACACTCGAGAGACGTATCCTCAGACGATGCCAATACCTCCCCTATCGCTCCCCCAGCGGAGAAGTCTTTTTAAACACCCCCAACACCCCCATCCTCACACGTTTCCAGTCCCTCAGGAAACAATACGTCTCTCGCACGCTGAAAGGCACAAACACCCACTCCCAAAACACACTTCGCACCCCTTGGCGACCCAACCAACTCCCCCTCTTTCGAAAACCGAAAAGAAAATTGCCACAGCCGAATCTAAAACTCCTCACAGACGCCCAAGACCTCCCCCTCACCGCTGAACTCCAGGATCTGCTGGAATCAGCCCCGCTGAGTATAAGATAAACCTTCCCAAATTACGTTAATTAGAAAATCAAAACACATGTACAATATCGTGGTTTAGGTTTTGTGGTTTTCATAAATCATATTCCCCACCTCATACATGGACCTGTCCAATTATGAGGTTGGAAATAGCAAAATTGGCGATATTCTTGGGGAACAAACCTGCCACACAGGTCCCACACACACGCGCACAAAAATTAGGAATTAGCTAGCTAGGTTACTTTTGTAATCAGGGCAGACCACCCTGAAAAGGAGGATAACTCCTATAGCAGGGAAATAGGAAAACAATATGTCCTAGAAAATGTAAAACACTTAAGATTTCCACTAATAAATCAAAAAAAAAAAAAAAAAAAAAAAAAAAAAAAAAAAAAAAAAAAATCAAAAAGAAATTATTGCATTGACACGACAACACACACACACACACATGTTCACCGCAGCAGCCGCAACGACTAGAAGTACTTCGATCGCTCCCAGTATATTCAAAGCCAGTGTGACTCGAACGGCCTGTAATCTCTTCGGAAGGAGCAGCGTTCGCAGTGAAGATTGTGACTCCAGTGTTTTTATTAGAAGATTTTTAGGCAAATGCTGACAAATTTTAAAATTCGAATAAGATTTGAAAAATATTAATTTTATATTTTTATGTTTTCAGACTTTTTAAAATTTACTAATAAAAATTGGAGATTTGTGAAAGATTTTCTACCAATTTTTCTCTTTCAGCGATACTAATAAAAATTGGAGATTTGTGAAAGATTTTCTACCAATTTTCTCTTTCAGTGATTACGACCATTAGGTATGGCCCCCACAGGGGCAAAACCTAAAAACTTGGACGGAATGTCCAAGGAAAACAAGGAAGAGGAAAGTATAGTGGAATTTCTAAAGGACACCAATAGAAAATTAGTCAAGCAGGTTGAAAACCTCAACAATCAAGTGGCAAATTTAACACTACAAGTAGCTACTCTCCTAGCACTACTAGGAGACAACAAACAGCAAATTAAGGAAAAACCAGCCGAGGAAGTCATCACCGAGGCAATGGCTACCGACCTACCAGTCAGTGAAGACGAGTATCACGAAGTGATCTCAAGAAAAACCCGAAAAAGGGGGCGAAAATCCACAAGTGGCGCTGGGAATTTCTCATCGTCCGAGGAAGACGACTCCAACGGCAAAAACTTAACTCCCCGGAACGGTTCAAAAAATCGCAGATGCAAATCTCCGGCTTTTTCACCGCCCAGGGATGAAAGTGTTACAGTCGAAAATACGGGACGCTTGGGTGCGAGTAAGGGGTTCAATCGGCCGGTTAACGGTCGAGCCTTCGAGGCATGTAAGCCCCCGCTATTTAAGACTATAACGCCAACGGCGACGAAATCTAAGAACGATGAATTCCCACCGCTACCGCTGAGGACGCAAATACCGATTTTGACAAAACCGATTATGACAAAAAAACCGCCTACACATGCACCAGGAGGCACTGAACCTGTGAAAGCGACAGCCGACGTGGTTATTACAGGGCGTGATGAAACCCTTAACGCCATGGCCGAGCCGAAACAGTCGAAAGTACCACCGGTGGTAGTGGAAAGCGGTGCCAAAAACTGGCCAGAAACAAGACGTGGCCTAGTAGAAAGGGGTATCCCTTTCACTAAAGCCGCTACACGAAACGAGGAATTGAAAATCTGGCCAGCAACCTCAGATGCGTGCAGGGCTACGACAAAGTACCTGGACGAAAAGAAAGCCAAATATCATACATACAGGCTAGAAGATGAAAAATGCCACAAATGTGTCATCCGAGGACTCCCTAAGGAAACCGAGGTAAACGACATTATGGAAGACCTTGAAAGCCAGGGCTTAAAACCCCTGAAAGTGCAGAGAATGACTGCAAGACGGGACAGGCAACCATTGCCACTGTTCTTGATAGACGCTCCGCTCAACGAAAGGGCAGAAATAATGAAAGTTACGCGATGCCTGGACCTAGTGGTCCGCATGGAACCACTGCATTCAAACGCGGCAACCTCGCAATGCTACAGGTGTCAGGGTTTCCACCACACCCAGTCAGGATGCCACAGGGATGTAAAATGCGTAATTTGCGGAGAAGGACACCGTGCAGAACAATGCCCTAGACGTGCAAACAAGGACGCCAACGCCACTTGTGCCAATTGTAAAGGAGAACATCCCGCAAATTACCGCGGATGCACAAAATATCAACTCACGAGAAATAGACAGCCGCAAAAACCACGTCAGAGGCCGATCACGAAACCCGCCCACGTTACAGCGGGTATATCATACGCAAATACTACGACGCAGGCTATTCGACACGTAGTCGAACAAAAACAAAAAGAGAGATCTAACGACGACGCCCTCATCAAGGACTTGTTAGAACTCCTCATGCGACACCAAGGAACCCGTTAATGAATACACCACCTACAAGGCCAAATCAGCTGAAGATCCTATCGTGGAACTCAGGAGGAATCCGGATAAATAAGAACCTTCTATTCGAATTAATCGACACAGAGGTCCTCGACGTTATAGCGCTACAGGAAACAAAGCTAACCGAGCGGCAAAACTTTAGTTATCCTGGTTATGACGTGTATAGGACCGATCTTAGAGCAAATTCAGGAGGCACTGCGATTATTATTAAGCGGGAGATAGATCACTATCACACTCCCACGCCCGGAGGACTCCGGACAATGGAGGCTACTACGATCACTGTTAGAACTTCCCACGGAAATTTTAACATAGTGTCTGCCTACCTACGACCCTAGATATTCTACATCACGAGGATTTAGACCTAGTGCTACCACCCTTCGAAGAAGGCCTCATAATCGGAGATTTGAACGCCAAATCCCCCGACTGGAACAGCAGAAGACGCAACTCCTCAGGACGGGCGTTGGAAGCCTACCTGGCAGATAACCCAGGATGCGACGCCGGAGGTCCACTCGAGCCAACACACCACCCAACACGAGGACTGCCCGATGTGATTGACATCGCAATCGTGAGAGATTGCACATTTCCCCTGGAAATGTATTCTCTTAACGAGGGCTTCGGTGGACACAATTCCGTATTTCTTCACCTAGGTGAGGGAGAACGAGATAGCCCGCCGAAGATGGTGTCGAAAACAAACTGGACGCAGTTCAAAAGAATTCTAGGGGCAAATATCGGTAACGTACCGGTAATCGAAGACGAGGAGGCAGTGGACCGAGCGCTACAGCACTTAGTATCACACATTCAACAAGCGCTGCAAACCAGCACGAGGGAAACCGAAGTAACTAGGCCCAGCAGATTTAAGAACATCGGCCAGGACATTAAGGACCTTATAAGACTAAAAAGACAAGCACGCAGACGAGCCAACAGGACCAGACTCCCCCGAGACCGGATCTACGCGCAAAACCTCGCACTTAGACTGCGAGAAGAACTCAAGCAACATAGCGACGAACAGTGGAAAAACTTCCTAGACACTCTGAATCCGCAACAAAAGGGGCTCTGGAACCTGCAGAAAATCTTACGACGAGACAAACACACAAAAGTACCCACGCTCCACGGTACGCCACACCGACGAGGACAAAGTCGAAGTATTCGCCACCTCCTTGGAGAACGAATGCCAAAACAATGAACACGACGATGAGGACATGGACTTTGCGGACGTAGTGGACGAACTATGGGAAAACAACTACCCAGAAGACGACGACGACGGACTAATTTTAACGCCGACATCTCCTGACGAGGTGATTGGCATTATTCGTTATGTTTCAGCGAATAAAGCACCTGGATGTGACCACATTACAAACAGAGCACTGAAGCACTTACCTCAAAAGGCCATTGCCCACTTCACAGCAATCATTAACGGGATTTTAAGAAATCAGTACTTCCCACGACTCTGGAAAAGTGCAGAAATGCTTATGTTTCGAAAACCGAATAAGGACCCCGCCTTTCCGCAAAATTACCGCCCCATCAGCCTTCTACCCGCGATGAGCAAAATTTGCGAAAGGATTATACTCTACAGGCTAAAGGAACAAACCGAGGATATGAACATCATCCCCGCCGAGCAATTCGGATTCCGCGAAGGACACTCCACCGAACGCCAAGTCCTAATGCTAGTAGAGCATATTACGAAGAAATTTAATCATCGACAATCGACAGGAGCTATATTCCTAGATGTCTCCAAGGCATTCGACAGAGTATGGCACGCCGGCCTGATTTACAAGATGAAGCACCTAGGATATTCAACGGCTATGACGACGCTGCTCAAGTCGTACCTCAGCGAAAGAAATTTTCGGATTAAGATGGGACATGTCCTATCAAGATCTGGAGTTTTGGACGCAGGGGTGCCTCAAGGAGCGGTATTGTCACCGATATTGTATACCATTTACACCTCGGATATACCAAAGACCCAACGAACTACCATGTCACTCTACGCAGACGACACGGCCATAGCAGCCTCGAGTACACAGCCCTATTTGATATCAAGGCACCTACAAGTAGCAGCGACAAAAATCCAGGAGTGGTGCGTAAAATGGAAAATCAAAATTAATGCCGAGAAAAGTCAAGCTGTGCTATTCACGAAGAGACGACACCAACCCGGACGAGAAATAGGAATAGATGGGCACGACATCCCCTGGAGCACCTCCGCCAAGCACCTAGGAGTCAAGATGGACAAACACTTGCGTTTTACACCGCACGTGGACATGGTAGTCTCGAAGGCTAAACAAGCGCGAGCGCGGATGAGTTGCCTGATCGGGCGACGAAGCCAGCTAGCGCTTAGAACCAAACTAAGACTTATTCACGCCGTTATTCTGCCAATTTTGATGTACGCCTCCATAGCGTAAGGACACACCTGCAGGACTAGCCGAAAGAAAATCCAGACGCAGCATAACCTCTGCCTGAGGTATGCAGTGAATGCATATCGATACACTCGAAACACGCAGCTATACAGGGAGCTAGAATCACCACCGATTCTAGAGCGAATGAATAAACGCGCCGAGAGTATATTTGAAGAGCTAAGGACACATCCGAACCTAGAACTGCGGGAACTCACGGACTATTTAATAGTAGACTACACAAGGCACGCAAGGCCTAGAAATCAATTAGCCCCAAATATCGACGGACCGGGTATTTATTAATATTTACGACTTTTTAATATTTTCTTTCTTTTCAGCCTCGGCAGAAGTAAGTACTGACCGTATAAATATTTATTTCTCACATTTATTTATATTTCTTTTTAGATGATTTTTCCAGCCGGAAATAATTGTTGTTTGTTTATTTGTTACTTTTGTTAATCATATTTTTGCTTTTCAGAGGTTATTTTTATTTCAGACAACAAACACGAGAAACAGACAATAGACTGTACACACACACGACAACCGCCTGCTAAAGAGCTGTCCCCCCAATTGCCACTTGGGGAAATTAGGGGAACGCTCACAGGCGGGGACACCTAAATGCACGCACGCACAGACGACACGGCAGAGTAAAGTCTTAAACCACACTCTGCATAAATGATGATTACATTTCTAACTTTCATGCCCTTTCGAAAGCTGGATTTGCAAATTTGATGCCTTTTGTCACTGAGGTCCCTGCAGCGATGTCATGTACAAAGCAGGGAGGTGGACGGAATGGGTCAAATAGGTTCCGGATTTGTTTTACGCAAATTTAGAACTCGGAATCAACACGTGCAATTATTGCATTGCATTCATTCGTTCTACACTGTTACCATGCTACGAGCTGGGGCAAAAATCATTTATACTAATTTACTAAGTACCGCGTGAAAAGAAACTTAAACTTGCTAATGCCTTACTATTATTATCATTGTAAATACATATAAGTTAAACACATGTAAATAATGTACATAAATAGCTGTGAATAAAACCAAATATCAGAAAATTTAAGTGTAATTTCCAAGAATACTTCAAGCAAGTCCACTGCTTTGAGTAAATACATTGACATTAAACTTTTAATTTACTTTTTTACTTTAATTTATTATTTAAGTATAATAGGAATAAAATCTATTAAAAAATCACTCCGTTTTGGGTAGAAGTTTAACAGGAGATCCATTTCTCATGTTCTGTGAGTTAACTAGAATGAAAAGATACCTTTTATAAGTCCATTGTCAAATTGGAAATTGTAGAAGTGTAACCTTTTATCAAGTATTTCTTTCTTGTTTTGTAGATTCGTTCTGGTCCTCTGTAGATATATTTTCCATTGTTTTCTTAATTAGTTTGTAGTTAGGTTCTAGAAGTCTAACAGAAAATACAAAACGATTTGAATTAGATGAATGGTTTCAGGTTTATTTTCTTTTGTTTATTTACTTTTATTCTGACATTGTCATTCACTTTAGACAGCTGTTTTATATTTTGAAAAATTCAATAATTAAAACCCCAGATAATCTGGAAATTCTTGGAATTAGGTTTGTGAGAAATTGGCTATGTATATATTTTTATGTTACCTGACATGATTTAATATCATTTCCTGTGGAGGTCATTTTAACTTGTTTTATGCATATCCTGCTATCATTACTTTTCTGGTACACCTTCAAGTAGCATGTGCTTTTGAGGAACTTTTTTAAAGGATTCATGTGCTAGAAAAGAAATCAATTGAAAACATAATTACTTATACCGTTGGTTGGTAACTTAAGTAACTCGTAAGAGGATTTGGTTTTCAATAAACTAAATAACTCATATCAAATAAGGCCACATTTCATCTTCAGGTAACGTAAAATCTTAAACCACCACTTATTTTCATTTCTTAATATTCGATTTTATAACTAAACTAGTATTTTGTATATTTCAGGCCTTTTCCCTTTCTCCGTTTTCTTTTCTTTCTTAACTTACGCTTTTCGTTTGCCATTTCGTATTCTGGTGGTGGATCTTATTCATATATCTGGACATTACTTTGAGACGAGTTAGTTTTATTTGTGGAATCAACTGTTGGATACTACTACTAGATACCCAGTTACCATTTATATCCCTGGAGGTAACCTCGTTTACCGCAGTTATCTAAAATAGAACCTAAATCATACAACGGAAGTCAATAGGACCTAGGCTTACCATTTGAGGCCAAGATGCTGATAGGACGACACAAACACCCTCGGAATAAGACGAATCAAACATTGACATACGTTTGTATTACCTAATTTGACACCCAGGTAAAACAATTTTAATTTATTAAAATAACGCCAGTTAAACACTCCTAGGATTGAACCTAGCAGGACATTTCCCACCCTCAGTGCTCAGGGATATCCTGTAAATAAATTGTACATATTATTATTTTTATATAACGAGATTGACTTGTATATTTATATATATTTACTGTAAACCACCCGGATAGATATCTATTTAATTGGTACGCCAGCTGTAGATTTCAATACCTATCATTTTGTTTAAAAGATTCGATTAAAACATACATTTTTCTAAAAAAAACCACATTTATCTTTTATCATAACCATAAATATACAGTTAGAAATTCGTCTACTTTAATTGATAGAACTGGCCTGCACCCAAGTAAGGATAATAGGCAAGTCTAGGTAAACTGCCTCGTAACACAATACCTACGACCCTCTCTTTGACTGAGCAGTAAGATAATTAATTTTCCTCATATATTGTTTTGCTCTGTACGTCATAACCTCAAAAAGTTTAAAATCCAAATATGAAAATTTAAAAAAAAAGCTGAAGCAAAAAATTGCTAAAACAAAAAATGAACTGTTTCGGACAGGAGGGGGGCCTATATACAGCACAAAACCTATCTAGTACACATCTTAAGGTATATGGGATTATTTCTCTTGCTGTAGATGGTCTTCCAGGCCAGTTTGATGATGATAAAGAGAGTAAGTAGCGTGCGCCAGTCAAACCTGCAATTTTGAAACAAGCGCGGGAGCCAAGAAAGTGGGCGGGGCGAGTTGTCAAAGTCACCGTTATGTTCCCCCTTTCAAAACATTTCACTAGTCATGGAACAGTGGTCCAAGCAACAACGTTCTTTTGTCGTAAAGGCATTTTATCAAAGCGGTAGTTATACAGCCGCTCAACGCCGCTTTCGTCTTCATTTCCGAATTAATCGTAATCGGCCCGTGCCTTCTATTAATTCAATAAAGTTATGGTTGCAAAATTTTGAAAACATTGGTGAAACGAGAAACAGAAGAGGTGGCCGTGCGAGATCAGTAAGAACTCCTGAGAATATTGAACGCGTAAGAGTCGCTATGACAAGAAGTCCTCGGACATCAGCGCGTCGATACAGTATTGGACTTAGAATTTCAAACAGTAGTCTCCGAAGGGTCTTGAAGTTAGACTTACACTATCACCCCTACAAAATTCAAGTGGTTCAGGCTCTAAATGAAAACGATTTCGCTGCTCGACGGCACTTTTGTGAAACATTTTTGGGAATGATTGAGGAAAACGAGGACCTTCACACGTTGCTCTGGATGAGCGACGAGGCGCATTTTCATCTCTCCGGCTATGTAAACAAACAAAATTTTAGATATTGGAGCGATGAAAACCCTCAAGAACTCCATCAAAAACCTCTCCATTTGGCCAAGGTAACAGTTTGGTGCGCAATGTGTTCAACGGGAATCATAGGCCCATTCTTTTTTGAAAATGAAAGGGGACAAGCTGTTACCGTGAATGCGGAGCGCTACTCAGAAATGTTGCGGCCCGTGTGAGCATGAATCTGCTCAACGAAATTTTCCCAAATCGGGTGATATCCCGGAACGGAGCCATTCCTTGGCCCGCTTGTTCACCCGACCTCACCGCATGTGATTTTTTTTGTGGGGCTACCTGAAGAATAAAGTTTTCAGAGAACGGCCTCGTACTCTTGAAGAACTGAAGGCGAGAATCCGTCAGGAAATCGAAAGAATCCCTCAGCAGATGCTCCGTAATGTAATGGACAATTTTAGAAAACGCCTCCAAGAATGCATCGATCGAAATGGACGACATCTTAATAATATTATTTTTAAATGAATAATGTTTATGTAATGCTTTTTAACGTAAATTAACATGGTATCAATAAAATTTTAAAGAATGCAACTGTGTATTTTTTACAGTTGTTTCAAAATTGCAGGTTTGACTGGTGCACCCTGTACTTTCAATGGTTTGGAGGGAAATTTATAGATACTCAATGGAGGAAAATTTATTATTTTCTTTATTGGTTTTATAGACAACATTTTTATATTGTAATTTATTTTTCAACTTTTTCTGAAATTACAACCTATCAGCCATGTGATAGATTGATGGAATCGGAAAATGAATTAAATGAAACTGCTTGGGAAGATAGTGCAAATTTGCCAAATGATGTGGAATTTATATATATTTAGAAAATAATGTAAGTTATTGTATATTTGCAATATGAATGGGTATAATTCTAAAACAAAATCAGAAAATGTGCACATTCTTCTTTATATGTGCGCATTCTTCTTTAGAAAAAGTGTCACTCAGTATGAAACTATTTGAATATAAATATCTGAGGAAGCTGTATCACTTAATATTAATTACCAACCTACTTTTTTTACTTTTTAAAAAATAAGTTACTTTTTTGTCCAATAGAATGAGGGTGATTTGGACCAAGAGGCTCAAACAAAAGAAGAGGGAAATCATGTTCTTAATACTCCATCATTTTCGCAATGGAAACCTTACACCTTAAAGAGAAAGACCACAGAATGTTTGCAAAGTATATATTGTTATATAATTACATTTAAAAAAATATATGGAATGTTCATTATAAAACAGAAATATATTCTAAATATATAGATTAATAGCATTATAAAACAGTACTTATATTTGTATAGTATCGAAGAAAAGAAAGATGATAAAGAGGCCAAAAGCTGTAGAACGAGTAAGTGTTTTGGCACATGCTAAAAAAACTAGTGGATATGCAATGCCAGCACATACAAGATGATGCGGAATATAAAAAAAGGAAAGAGAGCTGACCCTAAAAAAGTTGGAAGTAGATCTGCAAGTTTCGGAATTAGAGGTTGAAGCGAAGAAGCTAGACATTGAAATAAAAAAGGAAACATAAAAAAAATGTAAAAGCAATATTAATTTGATTAATGTTTTAATTGTAAATTTTTAATAAGCTTAAGTTTTTTTGTTTTTATTGTAAATAAATAATTCTGTAAAATTTAAAAAGCCTTCTTTTCAATTATCTAATATTTTAGTTGTATTTTTTTATAGACTCGTTTTTTTGTAAATAATTTTAGTTGTAATTTTCTATAAGCTTAACTTTTTTTGTTGTAAATAATTCTGTAACATTTAAAATGCAATATCAATTTAATTAGGTATATTATTTTTTATAATTGTCTTAACTATAAACCTTTTATTAAATTTAAATGCAAATGCAATGTAACGTTCAAAAGACGGAGTACTGAGAATATGTGTTGTAACTCAGTCAACTTATATTTTCTAATTATCTGTTTTGCAAGCAATATGTTAACATTTTAACTGAAAAAGAGAAAGAAAAACTTTTGTTATTTCTGTAACTGGGTGCATCTCATTTTCGAGATATGAATATATTAAAGGTTTTTGCAACTTAATTAAATTAATTTTATTTGCAGAAGAAGATCATGAGACTCAATTAGTACCTGCTATAGCTAGTACAAGCAAGGACAGTAATATAGCAACTTTTGACAGAAATAAGAATGTTAAGAAATCTATTTTTAGAGGAATTCCTGATATTTCTAAAACAAGTGCAACTCCAAGGAAGCAGAAGTTAATGAGAATCGTAGAAAGTAAGGAGTCCCATGTCAGAAAATTAAAAAGACTTGCTAAAAGTAGAGCACATAACATTAAGAATCTTTGTAATCTTAATGACTCTACTGTTGTAAGAGATTTATTTAAAGATGTGCCATCACAAACAGCAAATTTCCAAATTGCACAAGTGAAATGCAGTAGAAAATCTACAAAAGGAAGAAGATGGACTAAGGAAGAAAAGGTTATGGCTTTAGCTTTATTTAAGAGAGGTCCAAAGTGTTACAACCTGCTTAGGAAATTTGTTTCTATTCCATCAAAGAAAAGGTTATTAAATCTTTTAAGGCAGGTTCCATTTGAAAGTGGAATTAATAATCATATGCTTAAGCATATAAATGATTCTCTTAAAGATGATGATCATAGAGAGTGTGTAATAGTAATGGATGAAATGGATCTCAAAGAGCATATTGAATAGGATAGTCAAGCTGACAGAATCAGAGGATATTCTGAAAATGGTTCTGGATTGGCCACTAAAGCTCTAGTGTTCATGGTTAAAGGGCTGTGCAATTATTGGAAACAAACTGTGGCATATTATTTTTCCAAAGATGGTATTTCTGAAGTTGACTTAAGTGTGGTATTGGTTAAGGTCATTGAAGCATGCCAGAAAGTTGCAAATCTGGAAATTGTTGCAACTATTAATGACTGTGGGTCAAATAATGCCAAGGCATTAAAAATACTGGGTTCATCTTCATTACAACCTTACAGGGAGAGAGGGAGAGAAAAAAATATGTACCCTCTTTAATCCACATTTAATAAAATGCACAGTTTCACTGTTTCGAAAACATAATGTGGAACTTCCAGTACCTTGTCATCAAAATGAAACAATGCAGGCCCGATTTAGTGACATCCGAATGGCTCACGAAATAGATTCGAATACCCCATTAATTTTTAGAGCAATGCATAAAATTGAGACACACCATTTGGATCCAAAAATGAAGTATTCAATGAAGGTGAATTTAGCTGCACTTATGAGCCAAACTGTGTCATCTTTTTTGTATACATTGCTCTCTAGAGGTAAGATTTAAGTTTTCTATTCATTTCTATATTATAGTAATTATAATAAATAGAGTAAATAAATTTAAACTAACAATGACATTGTTTTTAAGGGGAACTAGAACAGCAGTCTATAGCAACAGCCACATTTGTTTACCAAGTCGACGAACTGTTTGATAGTTTTAATGGCAGCGCCAAGTTTCTACCCAGCGGAAAGGAATTAAAATGCCTCATTACAGATCAATCTGCCCATAATAATTACTGGGAAAGGGCATTTGACATGGTAAATACATGGAAATTCCTTAGAAGGAATAAAACCGGTGGTTTCAGAACTACAAAATCCCCATCACAAATTGCCTGGCTTACAACAATACTCAATCTTAAAAACCACTGGCCTACATAAAGTCTCAGTCTACCAACTCGTCTTTTTAACATCTTTCATGTCTTTTAAAATCATCCAAATTAACGTGGGCCGAGCCACAAAGGCACACGATGTCTCCATAGCTGCACTGGTTAGATCAAACACAGACTTAATATTCTACCAGGAGCCAAATAAAAAAATGACTAAAAATATGGGTCTTATTGCGGACAGGAACATGGACGTGGTGGTTCTGGTGCGCAACAAAAAAGTGGGCATCTGGGAGCACACGAACAACATAGGTTACATAAAGATGAACATAAATGGCACTTCGCTCTATAATTGCTACATCTCCCCTAACATTACCAAGCGTGAGTACGAAGATCAGGTGAATCAAATCATGGATGATGTCAGGATGGAAAATAACCCCAGGACGATAATCCTGGGCGATTTCAATGCAAAATCGCGACAGTGGAGCCCAACCGAATCAGATGAACGCGGAAATCACCTCGAGACATGGATGGCCATGCTAAATCTGATTGCCCTTAACAACGGATCCACACCGACGTTTGTCAGAGGGGACAGTGAATCCTACATAGATATTACCCTGGCTACCGAAAACTCGTACAAACAATAAAAAATTGGACAGTTTCCATGGAAGAATCCTTAAAGCGGGGTTTTCCTAGCAACGCGCATTTTACGCGGCGTAGAACGTAATTCGGTCGGCGTAAAACGCTGAGGACATGTCTAATGAAAATCAAATGGTGTCGTTTTCCTACAGGGCGCAAAAACGACTTGCGTCGCGTAATACGGTCGACGCAATGGGACGACTGCTTGGAGAGCAGTCTATTCAGTCGTACGCTGCGTTTTAAAAGAAATGTGCTCCTAATTTGCAACAAAATGACTTTACAAAAACAACAAATTCGTTTTAGTGCTACTGAGGACGAACAATTAATTGAAGTCGTTAGTGGTTATCCTATTCTTTGGGATATGAAACTGAATTTTACTTCGTCGTCGAGCAGGTGTCTATGGATAAGTAATTTAAATGCTCCTTTACTGCTTCTGTTCTGAAATAATTGATCAGCAGAATTTCTAGTGCTATTATGAATCGTGATTATAATGTTAATTTCTTCTTGCAAAATTTCATCTTGCAGTATTAAAACTGCCAAAGCTAATTTCTTTTTACAATTATTTGACCCACTCATCGCGATGATCAGGACGCAACTGATAATCCTAGGAAAACACTTTTACGCAACGCGTTGGATGTTGCGTTGCGTCGGCCGTATTACGTTCTACGCTGCATAAAATGTGCGTTGCTAGGAAAACGCCGCTTAAGCCTTCACAAATTCGTCACCTTCGAAGTCGACGGGAATGACAGAAATAAGAAAAGAGAGAAAGACAACTACCATAACAGAAAAACAATCGACACGACTATTCTGAAAAACTCCCTCCATCTACTTAAGCACAACAGCCTGAACACTTATGAAAATCTCATACTAACTTTAAAAACCGCTCAAGCATCGAGCGAGATTAGGGGTGCGAGACAGTGCCCGAAAAACACCCCCTACTGGTGGAACGAGGCTGTCGCAAACAGAAGGGCAGAGTGCAACTTCCTACGAAGGAGACTTACAAGAGCAAGGGGAAGAAGAAACAGCCTTAGAGGAAATCGAAGAGACGGAAAACGTATATAGGTGCAAGAAAGATTTACAAAAAAGAAAAAAGTTCTCTAAGAGGGAACGCTGCACTTACGAGCATTTGGCTTCAAAAACCGGTCAAAAATAGGAAATACAAACCTAGCTTAATATCACCCAAATTGCATTTTATGTTCACCTAGCATCCGTACCATCACAACTCGGTTCAAAAGTGTACGCCTGACTCCGCCACTTTGTTGCGCAGCTAGTCGGAATCTAGTTGCTGTGCAATACACACTTTTTTGTTCTCGGAATGCTTCATTTTATATGACATTTCGGTTGGTGTTTTCCGTAGTTTAAAGTGAATTTTGAGAAGTTTTGGTTATGGACAATTAACAACAAGGTATGTACTTTATTTTAATATTGCTTTTTTATGATTTCATATTTTGTTTTTTTTTGTTATCTTTGCCTGACAGTAAAATGCACGAAAAAGATAGTCTTTTTCAAAGATCTTTCTATATACAGGTGTTTTTGTTTGGGTGCCGGAGGTGATCGATCCGCAATTTTATTTTTACAGTTAACGATAGGGTTTCAGAATGTTATCTGAGGAAAAATATTTTCCACATCTTTCCACCATTTGGTTAGAAACCAGTTTAAAAAGCTGATGTTTTTATCATATAATTTTACGTTTTTATGTTTCCTTGTTTCTTTTCAGATCTGATAATGAATATTATTGATATGCCTCGGAGATCATTATATATGATGTTTAAAGAATGCACGGCAAGAAAATTAGATGACAAAGTGTCATTTATAGAACATAAACTCCGTGAACGGACGAAATGTCCCCAAAACGAGTTACAAACGTTGAGTTATGATTTAAGACATTTTAAATCAGATTTAAAAAAGAGGTGGACATTGTCCAACTATATTGAAGAAAGGTTTCTTACAAAAAACGAAGAATGGCTTAATGGTTCAGTTTCAATACATACCTGGACATCGCGTGTAAAGGCGGGAAGGCCAAGCAAGGAATTCCAAAAATTGTCTGATCGTAGTAAGCGGCGAAAAACTAAAGAACTCCGGGAACAGGTACCTGTCGATGAACTAACTTACGCAGCTAGTGTTAGTCAACGTACTTCAGGAAACGCCGCGGCATCTAAAATTATAAAAGATGTAACTGCTTCACCGACAACAGCCAAAAAGTTCAGAAAAGCCATTGATGCTCAACAATCGAAAACTGCAAAGAAATACACACCTAAAGAAGCATTATCCTTATTCGTCGAAGGCGACTTCACAAGGAAACAGTGGGAGCTACTACACGATTCGAATAAGAGTATTTACCCTTGTTACACCCTTATTAGAGAAGCAAAGAATGATTGCTATCCGAAAGAAGAGGCAATGCGAGTTACGGAGACCTCTGCAGAAGTTTGTCTTCAAGACTTACTCGACCACACCGTTTCAAGACTTTGCCTATACCTTGAGGAAGTTCTTGAAAATTGCACTGAGGCAGAATTGGAAAATCTGGAACTTATAACAAAATGGGGTTGTGACGGTTTACATCAAACCCAGTATCAACAAAAGTTTTCAGAAGCTTCTTGTGATGACTGGCAAAATCCCACGCCATCATCCACGCGTTTCTGTCGACCGATTCGCATTCGGTTTCGGCATGAAACTGTCGACATTACAAAGGAGAAAATAAAATATATAGAGGACCAAGCTAAGCAATTACGCAGTACCGTAATACCAAATTTAAAGGGAGTGAGTTATGTACGGCATACATTGCTTCTGACAATGGTTGATGGTAAGGTGTGCAATTCGGCAACGAGCACAACCTCAACCATGAGATGCTACATATGTGGAAAAACTTCTAAAAGCTTTAATGATTATGAAAATCCGGGTGTGGAGGAATCCCAGTCGTTAAGATTTGGCTTGTCAATTCTTCACGCCAGGATCCGTTTCTTCGAGACCATATTACATCTTGCATACAAACTCCCTCTGAAAAAATGGCAGGCCAAAACACCTGAAGATAAAAAGGCGGTTAAAGAAAACAAGGAACGAATCCAAAAGGAATACAGAGAACGGACCGGCTTAATAATAGATATGCCAAAAGCAGGTTTTGGCAACACTTCACGAAGGTTTTTTAGTGACCCGGACCTAGCCGCTGAAATTACAGGCATTGAGAAAGTTTTTATACAAAGACTTAGGTTATCCTAGAAGCCTTATCATCGGGCCACAAAATTAACCCAACAAAGTTCGCGGAATATACCAAACAGACTGCAAAGATGTACGTGGAACTATACGGGTGGCATCCAATGACACCAACTCTGCACAAAATCCTTGTGCATGGCGCAACAGTTGTAAAACACGCTATTCTACCAATTGGCCAGCTATCTGAAGAAGCTGCAGAGGCCCGCAACAAACATCTTCGCTCATACCGACTAAATTTCGCACGAAAATTTTCAAGGATTCAGTGCAACAAAGATGTTTTAAATAGGCTTCTTCTGACTTCCGATCCTTTCCTTAGTTGCAAGCGAAAACGACAACAGAGAAAAAGCCAGCCCTTCTCATCTGAAACTTTAGAACTCCTCGAGGCAGAAGGACCGGAAGTTCAAGACAAAATAGAACAACATAGAGCAATGAAGGATTCCGATGCATCTGACTAGTTTTTTTTTTAATTTGTTCCTACTAGTTATTTTCTGAACCTGATTTCAATGTTTTTTCACCTTGTTTCTGTTAATATACACGATAAACGTATACACACAAGTATTTTTATTCATTTCCATAAAAAAAAATGTTCAAAATAATTTTGACCGGTTTTTGATGCCAAATGCTCGTTAGTGCGCTGGAGTAAGCTATGTAGCGAGCTAGAGGATGATATCTGGGGTCAAGGCTACCAAATTGTTACCAGGTACATGAAAGGACAAAACCAATATGAACTGTTCAACCAGAAAAAAGGGCGTTGATCGAGGAGCTTTTTCCAGACTGGCAGGAGGAGCTCGAATCATGGAATAGTACCGAGGAATACTAAATGTTCACATTCGAGGAACTTAAAGCTGCTTCAACAAGGCTAAAAACAAACAAAGCAACATGACCGGATGGGATCACGGTCGAAACGGTCAAAACGGCTGCCACCATCATGCCACAAGAGCTCCTAGGAGTCTACAACGGAATAGCCAGTACCCAAAGCTTCCCGAAACCTTGGAAAAAGGCCAAGGTCGCCCTTATCCCTAAAGGAGTTGAGAACAAATACAGGCCGATCTGTATCCTGGACACACTGGGAAAGCTGTTTGAACACTTAATAAAAAACAAGCTAGAAGCCCTTATTAATCTCGTAGACACCCAATACGGATTCCGCAAGGGAGATCTACAGTCGAAGCGGTAGAGGCAATTACTAGAGACACAAAACACAAATGGGCCGCTATGATCTCTATAGACGTGAAGAACGCCTTTAATATGGCAAAATGGTATGTCATTCTAAAAAGACTCCAAGAGCAGGAAACACCGAAATGGCTCGTGAACCTAGTAAGAAGCTTCTTTACCGATAGAGAAATCCAGGTGAATGTCTTCAGAAAAAACATGACCCAAGGGGTTCCACAAGGATCTGTACTGGGTCCACTCCTATAGAATGTACTCTACGATGAGGTACTCAATCTCGAACTCCCCACTGGCTGCGAAACAGTGGCCTATGCAGACGACCTGACCCTTGTCGTCCGGTCCGGATCGAAGGAGGGACTCATGGAGAAAGCAAACAACTCTTTAAGTGATTTCCAGTCACTCAAGCCACGAACACTAAATCAGGATGCGGTGGAAAATTTGTTTGGGGCAATAAGGTCAGGTTTGGGGTGTAATGATAATCTTACAATCCCGCAATTTGTAGGCAGTTTAAAAAACTCAAATTTTAAATGGTTTATTGCACAAGCGAACGAGGGGAAATTGTGAGGAATACGATGGCACACTGCTGACAAACCTTAATAATTTTTTATCCATTGAAGAGTCGGGAAAATTTAACAGTTCAGTTGATAATTCTGTCCAAAGTATTTTGAATGTTGATAAAGTGACAACTGACATTGTAACTGAGGCTGTAACTACTGATTCTATAGCATCTGTCTGTTGCATATGTTGCAGGATTTATCGTAAAAAAAATTTGTTAGTTTATAAGTGCAACATATGCAATGAAATTCTATTATCTAATTCAGAGGCACCTTATAATTTATTTATAAGTTTCAAAGAGTGGTCAGATAACCAAGGAAGACTCATTTACTCTGCAGAAGAACCAGTAGTTTCGGTTGGAACAGCTATAAGCTTATTGGAAGATTTTCTTGAGTCTCATGCTAACCTTTTAAATTTAAGTAAGCAAATATAAAAGCTATTTGAAGAAAAAATAGATTTTGAATGGGTAACATGTACCACTTGTACCACTCATAAACATTTTCTTATGAAATCATTTATTAAAGCAGTGTGGAAAATGGGCATAGAAAAATGAGGGAAATTAGGTCATAAAAAAAATTTACGCAATCAAAAAAAATTAAAAAATTTTTACTTATATAATTTATAATATAGCTTTCGGTCCCTGATAGAACAGCCTTCTTCACTGGGTTTTATTTTTTGATTCGTTTATTTCATTGTTTTATTTTTTGGTTTAACATTGATATTTATTATTATTAAGATATTACTTTTCTTTTTTAAATGCATATATCCATGGTATTTTATGGTTATTTAAATTAATCTCATGTGTTTGCCAATTATTGTGTTTTTTTATGTATTTATTGAAAACATCACGTAGCCTCCAAGCTCGGATCGAAAGACGATGAGCGATATCGTCGAGCTGGGCATTCGAATTCCGACTTTCGAAGAATAACCCACCAGTCTTTTAAAATTGTTTATTATTTTTCATGTTTCTCAATTAATAATTATATATATTTTTAATAATAATAATAATTCGGGTTTGATTTTATTAAATAGTTTACATTATGTCATTGCAATTTAAGGTTAGTTTTTGTTTGTTTAGTCCTGCGGCTATCGTAAATAAACGATTCATAAAAACTATGCTGTAACGCGGGCATCGTAAATAAACGATTTGGTACATTTTGTTATTTCTCAACAGCGGCAATCGTTCTGAAACCAATATTAATTTGTTAATCAGCAAAATTTCTTTATGCTTGAAACTGATTTATGATTATGGGTGTTTATACATTTTTTATTTTGTATTAGAACTTTATAGTTATTAGAATGTTTGTTTTGTCTAGGAAAGTAATCTTGTAGAGAATAAATGGTTTTAGGATGAGGGAAATAATTTTTTATGATTATTTTTGTCACATGTATGGTCAAATTTTACATGTAAGTACATCATACAAAATAAATAATTTTTGGAATAGGGTAGAAGACATAATATTTTTCATTTAGTCTCTCTTGCGTTTCGATCAGACCTAAAATAGAAGTTTTGTGTAAAAAGTGCTCGTAATAACTCGTTTATTTTGTAATTATACAAATATGGATTTAACTTCATCAACCGGAGGGCGGCGTAGTCTTGAAAAAAGCTCTGATGATTATAGCGATGAAGAAGAAAATCTATTTGAAATAGAGGAAAGTGAAAATGAAAGTGGCAATTCAAGTGAAACTGACAGTGAAAATGAAACGGTTGCCGGTAATTTAGTTTGGAGAGCATGTAATGACTTCCAGCCTAAAATATACAATTTTGATAATGAGAATTCCGGAATCTGTAACAGAAAATTTTAACATTCACGAAGAAGCTGAAGAATACGAGTATTTCGTAAAATTCTTCGATAACGAACTAATAGAAGTTATTGTGAATGCAACAAATAATTATTTTTATTTTTGCGATGACGCACGCCCAACACCCAAACGAAAGAGATGGTTTGACATCAGTGTTTCCGAAATGTATACATTTTTTGGCATTGCTATTATTGATGACACACATCAAAAAACATGAAATACAAGATTACTAGTCCACAGATCCCATGATATCTACCGAATTTTTCGCTAAATATATGACAAGGGATAGATTTATCATTAAGATATTTTCATTTTGCTGATAACAACAATCCCTTGGAAAATGATCGACTTTGGAAAGTAAGAAGTATTTTTGAAAAAATAAATCATAATTTTTCTGAATTTTTTTATCCATTTCAAAAGTTGGTCATAGATGAATCACTAATTCTTTTCAAAGGCAGGCTTCAGTTCAAACAATATATTCCTTCCAAACGACATAGATTTGGAATAAAACTGTTTGTTGCATGTGATTGTGAGACAGGAATGGTTTTGAATGTTTCAGTATATACGGGATCGGTAAATGACATTCCAGCATATGATCCATTGGAGGTCGGAGGTTGTCTAATCAAAAAACTGATAAGATCATATGAAGGAAATGGCCATTTATTATATACGGACAACTGGTATACTGATCGAAGATTAGCTTTATACCTCAATGAGCGAAACACAGGTTATTGTGGCACAATAAAAAAAAATAGAAGACATTTTCCCAAATTTACTCAACGCCGATTACAATGAGTGCAGATAGAAAAGATGAAGTGTGAGGACACAGTTTTGGCACTAAAATGGAAAGACAAACGGGATGTACATATCATTACGACATTTCACAGAGGACAGTTACAAAATAGTGAAAAAAATCAACTATCACACTCAACAAGTGATTCAAAAACCTGACTGTGTCGTAGATTACACTAAAAATATGAGACTTATCGATAAGGCAGGTATGCAGATGTCTGCTGTTGAATGTGTACGAAAAAGTGTAAAGTGGTACAAAAAAATCTTTTTTTATTTTATTGACTTGACAATTCTGAATTGTTACAATTTATATTTGTAGAAAGACATTATCCTTCGTATGTACCAGCAACAGCGGCTAAGGTTAAGGGACAAAGAACATGCCATGTATGTGCGAAAACCACGCAATGTGAGAAAAGAGAAAATTAGTAACAACGTGGTGTTCTGAGTGTAAAGTAAAGTAAAAAAAAATTAATAAGCAAGCCCTAAAAGACATATTTTGAGCAAAATAGATACTGAAAGGACTTTTGGCAAATTCCACTAGCTGAAAACTGCGGTCCACTCACATTTTTAATACCAGTTGGTTGCTGGCGCTTTTAAAGACTTCTTTTTGGATTTTCCTCAGCTCTTGAGATTTTTAAAAAACAAAATAAGTAATATTTTGAGCAGCATAGAAGTGTATGTCTAATTTG